TAGCGCAGAGTGTACTTCTTCTTCTTTGGAGAGAATACACGTTCAGTTCATTTAATACTGTTGTCATAACTGATTCAACAGCCAACAGGGACGGGGCCGCTTCGTTTCTACGTTTCGTCCTCTCGATCCTCTGCAGCCGCTCACTTCCCTCTCTGCAGATTCACCCACACGGATCTTCACCTGCTGCTTCCACGTGATGCGGCTGCCTTTCATCAGACGTGTTCGGTATTTGAACACGAATATTAAAATCATCACAGCATGTGCGTCTGATTGGACACTGTGTATATCTGTCCCTGAGTTCAGACTGAGTCGAAGAACAAAGGCAGTGACTTGGACTCAGAGTGTGTAACATACTTTATTTTAGACCCAGGGACTGAGGAGTGAACACTGAGATACAGGATTAAATGGTGGAAATGGGATTTTCTGTTTCTCTGTGTCTTTAAAGAGGACTTGGTTATCCAGTAAACTGAAAGAGATTCAGACTCCGTCCGGTCAGAAGCTTCAGTACAAAAACCATGAATCCCTCTCTGTGTGTAAACTGGAAATGAATCAATCCTGTTTCCTCTTCCAGCTCGTTTTGTTGTTGTCAGATTAATGTGCTGCGATTTCCTCGTCTGTGGGCTCTCTCTGTAGTCCTCCTTAAGGAAGGCAGTGCTGAGTCGACAGCCTGTTAAATCCAGGCTCCTCGGACAGATTTAGAGCCTCGCTGGAACATCTGAATCTGCTTTGTTAGAAACACCCTCGCTGCTATATCTGCCTCAGGAGCTGAGAGCTGCAGCTCTTAGAATTTCAAATTAACGCTGCAAAGACAACAACTGTTACTAACTTTAATCACAACGCTTTGGAGAGAAGTTCAAACATTGAGTGCAATATCTGCAGAGTTAGAAAAGTACACCTTCTCTGAAAGCAGAATCTACAGAGCTCATGAGAGCTGAGTGTAGTCGTGATGTCTAGGGATCATCTGAGTGAGATCAGCTGATCCACATCATATGTTGTGTGTTGTTATAGCAGCTGGTTTAACGGTTGGTCAGTCTGCTTAGCTCTGTTGTGTGCAGACCTCCGACAGGCGGCAGCGTCACCTGATAAAAGAACCACAACAAGTCATCGACATGCTTTTACTTTGTTCAACAGCAGTACAGAAAACTCCCAAGGAGCATTGCAGGTGGCGTGCGTTCTATCAGTCTCACTTTGTAAAAGTTCCACACTCGGGACATCCATGTTGTGTCAGCATCAGATGGAAATGATGGGATATACAACTGATTTTCCCATCGCAGTCTGCAGTGATGTAACTACTAACCACTAACTACTAATACACGCTGAGGGCAGCCGTTAACTGCTCATGGGTAATATTATTTCAGCCAACATCAACATCATCAGATTTACATTTACACTTATCATCACCACCGCACAGTAGGATGCCTTTATTGTGAAACAAAACAGGAAGTGTTGACAATGCTAATGAACACTTGACTCATCATTCTGTAACATTATGGTAAAGCTCCATGTTTCTTCTTCTTCTGTGTTTTATTTAAAAGTGTTGATCCATCAGAAGATGTAAAAACCATCTCAGTGTAGTTTTACATCTCCTCTCTCAGGCTTCTCTCTGGAGCTCTAGTAACAACAGGTCGGTGAGCCAATCAGAAGAGAGGAGGCTCTGAGCCTCTCTTCTGATTGGCTGACTGTTTTCTGAGTGATCCAATAAAAATATAGCAGATCTCAGGTAAAACACTCGGAGAACCAAATCCTGCAAGGTTTGGATGGTGGGTCCAGGTGGGCGGGGCTTGGTGACTGCTTTGTTGTGACATCACAAAGTTCCAGAAGTCCTGACGGCTGGTTTTAAGGCTCAGTTTCTGAATACAGGCTGTGTGCATTTCTCTGTGGACTGAGGCTTTGATACTTTCACAGTATTAATATAGAAGCTAGAGCTGATCTATAATCACACTACACATGGACACAGACCTTTACACTGGAGGAGCTTTAAAGAAAGACATTGAATATATACAAGACAGATATTTCAGCACTTCCTGTTTGAAATGGATAAAATATTTGTTTCACTGAAAAGCACAATAAAGAAGAGCAGAGCAGAAACTAATCTGGACTGACAGACATAAAGGTTTTACTGCAGCAGAAAAAACATTTTGGAGCTTTCAAGTTGAGCCACTGTGTCGAGGCAAAACAGAGAAAAATATGGATCCAAACAGGAAGTGGTTTGATGTAAGGCAGGAGCTTTATACAGGCTGGACAAGATGAACAACTATAATAATAATAATAATAATAAAAACTTTATTTATGCAGCACCTTTAAAAACAGAGTTTACAACAACAACATGACAACAGAAAGTCAGAGTGAGGCCGAACAGAAACAGGAAGAACTGAGGTAAAGATAGAGAGACAAGACAAACAATATAACGAGGTAAGATAAGATATTCCTTTATTAGTTTGCAATATTACAGCAGCAAAGTGACAGTACAAAGAAAGAACAACTGCAAATGACAATATCAAATACTAAATAATATGATATATACAATTAGATATTCTGATGGAACAAAAAACAAAAAAATAGCAGCAGATAATCTTCTTTAATATAAATAGAAACTGTTGGAGAGAAACAGAAAAGCAATAAAAGAGAATAAAAAGACGAAATGTATAAAGAAGTGATTTTAAAGACGTCAGTGATTCCGTCTCGTTTCAGTTCTATAGCTGACGACTGGTCAGCTGCTGTTTTAATTAATTAATCAAATAGAAATTAGCTGCTGTGACAGGAAGTACAAGGAGTCGACATCCTGCTGCCGAAATAGAGACTCCTGCTGATTGGCTGGAGGGAGGTGGGACCCGGGGGGGGGGGGCTGATGTGTGCGTCAGATGAGACTCTTCTCGTCACCAGACGTTTACTGTTGGAGAAGTTTGAGGTTTCACCTCCCCGACCTCCCGACCTCGTCACTGGACTTTGTGGCCCCTCCCCTTCAGGTTTTAACTCGTCCTGAAATCATTTCTATGACAGAACTCCAGGCTCCAGTGCCGCGGATGGTGTTGAGAGAAATTGGCTGTTAAACGGGGAGATGGCGGCCGAGGATCTGACTTATCGCCGCCTCTAAACGAACGACCATTACCTTGGAAAAACTGACTGCACTTTATTGATGTGTGCTGACAGAGTGGAACCTCGGCTCCCAGATTGGCTTTTGAGTGTGTCTGTGCTGTCGGTGAGGGCCTGTCATTTTCACTTTGTGGCTGCACGGCTTCCTGCCTCTCCTGTTTTCCACATAACTGCTTCTTTGCCATAAAAGTGTGATTCGCTTTGTCAAGTCCTCTGCCACACACACACACACACACACACACACACAATGGCACTCTTTCAGTGTCTGTCGGTGCAATCATGTGCTCTCCCTGATGAGATGGCGGGGGAGTTAGAGGAAGAAAAGGAGGGAGATAAAAAACAAGGTGGAGAGAAGATGTTCAAGAAAACTCGGACTGAGAAACTGTTTCATATCTGATGAGAAAAAGTGAAGAAAATCTTCATGATGATTCTCTTGTGAAGATTCTACAACATTTGATGTCAAAATCAATAAACAAACGTAGAAGAAGATCAGTGTCAGAGAGAACCAGCTTCCTGCAGAGTGTCCTGGAGAGAACCTGTCACACCTGTGCTCGGGGTCATGTGGTCCGGCCCGTGGGGAAAGATTTGCACATTGTTGATTTTTAGTTCTGGTTCAGTTCAGGTTCACGCTGACAGTAAACACACCGACAGGTGACATGTTAGCCGCCGCTTTTCAATCTGTGATGTGCCTCGACTCTGAGTCAGGAAACGCCTCCTCTGAGTGTGGCGGTCTCAGGCGCCTCAGATGAAACCGGTTGTATGACGATGGCGTGACATCAGAACGTGTGTGAGGCTGAAGCTGCTGTGTGATGTGTTTTTGATGGACTTTGTGATGATGAGGATGATGCTGATGAAGGTGTGTCCTCTCTTTCAGTGCCTGGCGGTGTGGGAGTCCTTCCTCCTGTCTCAGAGGGCGGAGCCCAGTGAGCAGAGAGATGGAGAAGAGGTCTGTTAAAGAGTGGAGGTCACACCGTCCGCCGTGTGTCCACCTCCACCTCCAAATACAGACTCATACAAAACATGCATCATGTACGAAACAAGCTCTCTCTCTCTCTCTCTCTGTCTCTCTCTCTCTCTCTCTCTCTCTCTCTTCCTGGCCAAAGAGGTTAATTCCAGTGATGGTTGGACATCACACAAGCCGACACTGTGATCCAAATGACCAAACATACGAGTGTTTACACAACCTCCATGTTCACGGCCAAAAGTTCCCGTTAGACTCCTCCTCCTGCTGCTCCTCCTGCTGCTCCTCTGAAACACTTCCTCTGCTGTGGATGGAGAACAGGATGGTGGCACCATCACTAATGATAGTCAGGTGACACGGAGCCGGTTCCATCAGGGAGGAGTCTAACAGCTCCAGAGGAAAGTGACGTGTCTGGATGTGAAACCACAGACTGAGCAGTAGGAGATAAAGGTTTGAAGTGACAACAGATCTGAGGTCAGCTGTTGGTGTGAATCTTTTTCTAGACCTTTTTAAAAAGTTGACATCTCTAACGTTCTCTCTCTAAACGCCTTTAATTAGGACCAGCTATTGAAACCAATGAGGAGGAGCCATGTGACTGAGTGTAGTACAGCTTTGTAGACATGACCACTACTTCTAACCAAACTACTTCCATGGAGCTGAGTCAGGTGACGTTCAAAGCCTTATGCAGTATGAGACTGATGAGTGGATGTTTGGTTGTTTGTGCCGATAGAGATTTCCTGTTTACATGTGACGACGACTCGGTGTCGCTGCGTTCGTCGGTTTTATACTGATCGTGTTTCTGACCTTTTCTCTCTCGCTCTCTTTTTGCTTTTATCATTATTGAATATGTAAAAAAGAAAAAGTCTGAATAAAATTGTTTTGGAGATGTTGCCATAATGATGATGATGATGATGATAATAATAAAGACAGATCTCACCCTGTAAAACTGATGTTGATCGTCTCTCTCGGGGATTCAGACTCACTGAAACTCTCTCTAAAGGTTTGAGCTGATGAACCGGATCACTGTGTTTCCTGCTGCCACACAAACTGATGGTTAATGAAACCATTCATACATCGTCCACAACCGTTGACCCGCTGCAGTGTTGGTGGGTTTCTCTTGTTTTCTCATGTTTCCAGCTGCACAGAAAGAAAACTGTCAGCCTTAAACTGCAGTGTTTGAAAGTGTTTTAAACCTGTTGCCACGGAAACGGTATCATTACAAGAGGAAAGAGGCGAGATGTGTCCCGATACAGGGGCCACATCCTTCGGACGACGCGGTCCACTCTGCGTCACCAGCTGTCCCTGCCCTTACTGTTGCCTAGCAACCTTGACAGTTTGGGTCGTGGTCGTTAAACCTCAAGATGGAGCCAGAATTTTAGTTTACTCTTGAACTGATCTGAAACCCGATACTCACATGTCTCCACATCTTACATCTGGGACACGGAGGATCCACCTGTTGGGACAAGATGGGACAGTGTCGTCTCTCCGCTGGGGCGCAGTGGGTCTTCAGACGCAGCCTCGGAGGGAGGCGGGACACAGAGACAGGTTTTGGTTCAGTAGCGACCTCAAAGATTTCTGTTTCATCATCTGTGGCGTCACCTGTGGCCGCGCACGGTAACTGCAACTTTAATGTGAAGAGATGCAGCTGTGTGTTTCAGCCAGAGATCTTTTGATTGCACAATATTTTTACTGCAGGACGATACTGAATGTAAATATATAATCTGGTCACATGATGAGTGTGAACTAGAAACGAGCGTACAAATGAATCCAACGTGTCCTGAACGACGCACAGGAGCGTCTCCCCTACGGCGGCACGTGTACCGGACCTTGGTTGTCATGGTTACAATAATAAAAACACAGACTGTACCCCAGAGCGGCGTATACCTACCTTCGTTGCCATGGTTACTATAATAACGGTCGTGTCTTGGTTAGGGTTAGGAAAAGATGATGATTTTTGTTAAGATAAGTGGTTCCTCATCATTAGACGGGCCCGGTCCAAACCTGGGCCGCTGTGGTAAGAATATGGTACGTGCTCCACCAGGTGAGTTACCGGGGCGACCTGCTATTATGGGATTTGATTTGGATTCACCACCAGGACTCCAGCGGTGCCTGAGCAGTCGTTCAGCTGTAAAGCTTCAGATCTGTTGGTGGAAAGAGTCTGAAGTTCGTCCCTTCAGAACTGATCTGACTGGTGACTCATCAGCTGGACCAGGAGCCTTTAACAGCGGAGCAGAACAGTGTCGTCTGTTACTGTGGTAACAGCTGAAAGACTGAATGACTAACATCGACAGGCTCCACACTACGGCCTGGAGGTGGAGACCGAACCGGAGCTGGAAGGAGAGTGGATGTGAGGTGTAAATTACAAATGAAAACAATGTCATGAACCTGATTGTGCCAGTTGGAGAACGGGATCTGAACAGCTGCTCACTGCAGACGAGTCTTTACATTTGTGGAGAACCGTCTTCAGCATCAGATTTATACACATTTTCTGGTCTGCCGAGTTTTCGGGGCAGCTGCTGCAGGACGGTGAACCTGAGGCTGAATGAAAATAAATTATAGTTCTGGACAAAGACGGAGCTGATGATACCTCAGGCTCATGGTACCTGATGCTGGTTTGGATCTGTCCCTGAGATCTGAAGGAAAATATAAAATCTCAGCCTCGTGTGGAACAGACTTAAACATCATGTGCAGATATTAAACCTGTGTTTTCTCTCTCTCTCTCTCCAGGGAGCTCGACCCAGCTGAGCACAGCTCTCCTGTTCCTACATGTGCCGTCATGTTCTCTCCCTCCCCCTCTCTCCGCTGGTATTCCCCTCTGCATTATGTGGAGGGTCTGATTTTCAAAGTGCTGTTTTATGTAAAGAAGTCTTTAATATATAATGTGATTAAGTGTATAGGACAACCTACTTAGTAACATGTGCAGCTGCATGTTCTCCAGCGTGCAGGGAGAAGAAACGTTGTGGTTTTGTTCATGTTAAAAGCGAAGCTGAGGAGGCTGTTCCCATCTGCAGTTATTGTGCAGTGTGTACTTTACTGCAGTGTAGTGTGGTGTATTGTCCTTCTAGTGGCAGCAGCTGACACTGAGTCTTTTTGGTTAGAAACTAGAACTACTGTTTTTATGAGTGGAGTTTGACAGATTGTTGTACTCATCGTGATCCTTCTGAAAACGTGTTTGTCTGTTGAGTTCATTCTCAGACTCTCGGACTGAAGACTCAGTTTGCACTCATTGTTTTGAGAAAAATATCAAAAACTCTAATTGCATCTTTTTTCACTTCCAGCTGTTCTAGTTTGAGATGATTTAAATTTGAATTGATTTATTTTTTACTCTGGTTTCACTATTTTACTAATTAGTCTTGTTTTTATTTTCACTAACTTTCTTCTGTGTTTCTTTCATTTTCCCTGGGCTGTATTGTAACAAGGTTCCCAGTTCAAATAAAGGTTGGATGAAGATGGCAGTTGCTGTAGAGCTCCAATAAAACATGCATTACTACATATTACTACATATTTTCATTTTGTTCCACTGGTATGAAATTGTGCAGAGTACAATGGTGAAGACATGAAATTCAGATGTTCACGACAACATCTGGCTCCTTCAGTGGCAGGACTCTCAGATGAATAATGCATCTTCTCCTTTAAAATGTTGGTTCTTCTTCAAACAACATGGCTGCTTCCCCCCTCTGTGGCCTCGTTTCTCGGAGCCTTTGGACGCCACATATGGTCTAATAGAGCTTCCCTCAGGTGGAGGAGGATTCATTATTCACCCAGTGAGAGGAAAGTCTCGGTGGCTGTGGCGTTGGCCTGGCACAGAACGACTGTTCTATTAGCAGAGATGAACCGAAGCCAAGTGAGCTGATACAGTACGATTCGCTCAGCGTGATGGAGTCGGTCCAAGTATGGCAGCACTGAGGGACGGCTTCAGGCCCTGTGTGTAAATGTGTAGTAAATGTACACACACACACACACACACTCACATTATTAATGTATTTAACCATGCATGCCCTACTTCCTCTCTGCCTGCTGCCAAAACGGTTTGTGACAGCACGATCGTATGTCTCATGTAATCCTGTCTCTTATAAATTAGGTGCAATTTATTTTTGAAGGAATGTATTCTGTGGTTTCATGGATGTACAGTATGTGTAGATTTGTAAAATGTAAATGCTGTTTTATTTGTTTTCCTACAATATCCACTCACAGCAGCTAAAGTGGAACGTTAAGGTCCACGTCAGCGAAACCTCATCATCTGTGCACGTCCACGAGGCCGAGCAGCTGCAGCCTGAAGTCAATGAATGCACAGACTGTAGGGACACACCATATGTGTTGAATACACCCGCCTGAACTCGTCCTCCTACGCACCGGCTCGGTTAGGACTTCATAACCAGAAGGTCTGAAGAGCTGAGGGAAGGAGCTTCGCTGCTTCCTCTCTCATCTCCTTTAGGAAACACCAGAGCTTCCTTCAAAGGAAAGGAGAAAATATCGTCCCACAATTCCTTGCTGCAGCAACATTTAAAATGAGGCACCATTGTAGTTTCACCTCATAAATGTAGAAACACCAGAGCACCTATATTCTTGTGACATGATGCAAGACTTTTAGGAATCCTTGTCTGATTGGCTGAAGCCCAAATCCATAAATATAGATTCACTCTCTTTAAATCCAGTGAGGAGTCATCATGGAGAACAAGCAGATTCATTTTATAGTTAAAAATATCATCATCATAACTAAATAATATATACATAAATGCAGTTTCACAAACGCCCCCACTGTGTTAGTGGAAGGCACTAAAATATAAATACTGTATATAAAAAAGGTCAATAGCGCCCGTGCCAGGAAACTTATGTGTAATATAATTTATTCTGGCCTCTGACTCATTTCCTTATTTCATTGAATTATTATTTTAACGGCTCAACTTTCTCTATTTGTATTATTACGTTACGTTCATTCGATCCTGTTTGTTTTCAGTTTGTTGTTAGAAATTAAGGAGCATTGATTGTCCATGTGTTATAAATAAAGTTTCTTTAAAAGAAATCTTAGTGTCATTCAGTGTGATTCTCTCAGCACCACGGTGTCTTCTCTCAAGTCCTTATGAATTCTCCTTCACTTCTTTCCCCGACCTCATGACGTTTTCCACAAGCATCAACCTCCAGGATGAAGAACAAAAGCTGCAGTCCCTCTAATGGCCACTAGAGTCTGGCTCCAACAGTGAGTCAGTCCCCATTGACTGTTTTGGTCTCTAGAGCTAATTTCCTCCTTCATGACACCTGTTTATATAACTCACCTGTTTACATGTTGTTAAGGACTAAAGTTATGGAGGAGTGCTAACGATGCTAACAGGAGAGTACGGTTGCCACATTAATAAACGAGCTCCACACCAGCCCCTCCTCCGTGCCTATTTTAGGATTAGCTGGGAGTTAGGTGGAGTCAGGCACTGACAAGATGGCGACAGTGGAGCAGCTTCAAAACCTCTCTTCAGAAACCTGAGCGTGACGTCACGGCAGCTACGTCCGTCTTTATTTGGATGCAGCCCAGAACTGTCACGGAGGAAATCGTCGGCGGCTTTTGGAACAGGTGCATCCCGCTGTCTTCAGCTGAAAACTCAACAGAACATTGTGGGGACACTTACAGTTCGTAGGCAACAAACTAGTGAGAACGAGCACACCCAGAGCCCCCAGCCGGAAGCTGAAAATATTGTTTTCATGTTGGAAGAAGTGAAGAAGAAGAAGAAGTTGCCTGACGGTCTGTAACAGACTTCACAACCTGGAATGCTTTAATGAAAAACCCTTTGACTCTGAGGGACTGAAGGAATATAAATAATGACTTCTACACCTCTTCAAAGGTAGGGAGTAATACTCCTTAATACTTAACACTTACTTAAGTTTATGGATTTTTATCTTCATACTTTTTTGCTGCGCTGCTTTGCACAAGGTTTTTGGTCACGAGCGACCAGGTGT